TGCGGGGAACTCTGCAAAAAACGCATCTTCGCACGGGCAGCCCGTGCGTTGGCCATTTATTTTTACAAGCAAAGCGATGATTTATGCAAAAAAATGCTCTGAAGTTTGGTTTTACGGTTAAACAAACATATATATTTTTTGTGACGAAATATTTATGTAATGTAAAGCAGTAAAAATGTGCCTTATAATTCTACAAACGATTCGACGTAGCAAGCTTGTTATCAACAGCGGTGAGGAATTCGGTAGCAATAGGTGTTTTCGCAGAAAACTTCCTGTAAAGAGCCGTGAAGTGAAAACCCATTTTTTTTATGAAGTGGAATCTGAAAAATTTATGGATTTTTCGGTAAATATCTAGAAAATCTGAAATCTGGGAAATAGATCACTGGAAAATAAATGGAGAATCTGGGGAAGAAATAGAAGTCATTGTATCGTTGACTAGCTTTTTATTTAGAATTTGGAAATTTAAGGATTTTTAGGATGTTTAAGAGTTCGGAGTTTTCAATGTTTTCTGAGAAAATTTTGAGATTGGATTGAGAGATCGTCGCTGCTTACCGGCGGAGTTTTTTTGGGGTTTCTGGAAAATTCGGAAAATTGTAAGTGTCTGAAATTCGTCTGTGATAATTCTTTGCTGAGAGCATTTTCCAGGCAAATATTTCCCCATCGCTGCATTGCGCAACGCCAGCTGATATTGCTGTGAAAACACAGCTTGCAAAGGATGTGCTCAATCTTTGTGGTGTACAATTTCCACCAAATATCAGGTAAATAATACTTCCTCTCTTTTTTCCAGTGTTCTGTTACCGTTTTATTACCCAGTTGGACCCCTTTTCACACTTCTTTTTTTATTTCGATGAACATTCCGGCAAGATCATTGCTCGGATTAATACAGATTTTACAGTGGAAATTTTGTATCGCATTTTGTTGTTCCGTTTCAAAGTTTGAAAAATTTGAGTTCCGTTTCAAAGTTTTACCCTCTTCAATAAAACTTGGTGCCTTTTTTTATTCAGTTTTCGCATTTTTCTTTACCTCTCTGCACGAATTCGAAGTTTTTCAGTAGCAAATGCAGCTCATCATGTATTGACTATCGAGTGAAGCCATGCGATAGGAATAAAAATGACGAAGATCTTGCCAAAGAGCGATATCATCTCGAGTACTTCAAGAAAAACAAAGTACGCCATTTTTAGAATTACTGGCTTCTGCAAGGAAGTTGACGTGATATCCTGTGTTAGTGATGTTGCTTAAATCTTCCTATATGGTCAGTCGCAGCTATCCCACTCTATATGAACCTAAGCTTCATATTTCCAATGAGTAGCTGCTTTTCTCTTTTTTTTTTCACTTATCTGTCTTGCAAATTAGTTACATGACTGTTCAGAACTTGGTGGGTATGAGGCTGTACTGATGTTTCCCGCTCCTTTGGATGCACAGTTCAGTCTGTGTTTACAGCTAAGGAATGAAACACAGAGACTGCGTCGTAAAATGTCTTCTTACACATGACACTTAAGTCCAGTCTCTCTGTTCTGCTATTTCTGACCAGTGCATTTGCATTGACCTCTCTAGAGACCATCCGAGTGGTTGATTACCTTCTTGTAGTGTTATAGTTTTTTCCTGTTTTCAGCCCCAAAGAAAAATAATCCTAGAATAAGGTCTTTCAGTCCCTTTTATTGAAAACAGTCAAGTTAATCACAATGTGACTTGCGAATTTTGACTTACTTCAGCTGCAGTTCTGGCCCACCGTAACCGCTGCGATGCGCACCATCTTTGCCAGAAAAAAAGTCCTTTGTGTCTAGAGATAAAACCGAAAATCCACGTTGCTCTAGTCTGAGTGAGCCGTAGGAAAATAGTCGGAAATGACCCGAATGACTCACAGTTCGCTGGATCAATCACACGCCTGCGAGTTTGAATGCTACTCAGAAAAATAGACTAAAAGAGGATGGCTGCCTGAATTGCGGGTGGTAGGATTTCAATAACGAATCAAGAAGGGACTGGTTTTCTTCTACGGACCGATGGAATTTTATGAGTTTGAGATATTTGTAGTATTTGAAACAGATGTTCATTCACTGTTGCTTTAATCGATGCTACATCGCCTCGTGTTCACCTCGACTGTTCAGGTCTGGTTACTAGGCCGAGTTGCTTCTAAAAAATTAATTTGTGGACCCCTGAGCTGTTTTCAGAAAATTGATCCGAAGATCCTGAATGAATTGACCGGATCGGATACGCGAATTCTGATTGATTTCGAGGACGAGTATGCTCGTTGTGGAAACTTTGATCTCTTATTTCCAACTGCCGAAACTTTTGATTATGTGAAATACTACAACCCTCCGATTGCTTACTCGAATTTGTTGCTGGCGCAATGGCAAGTGGAGCAGGCGAATCGCGGTCGCGACGTTGGCATCGCAATTTTGGAAGAAATCTGCAGGAATGGCGATCACTTTGCTGATTCTAATGATTTTAATTTGTTTGAAAATGGTGCTGTCTAACGTTCCACTAACTGACGTTTATTAGCTTATGAAATTTGTCTTCCACAAAATTTGCCAACGAGAAATGGAAACGTATAATTGCCTTGTCCTCTCCTTCTGCTAGTGGGCGCTGGAAAA